AAGTTGGCGAAAGCCAAGACGAGCACAGTTAAAAAATGGCGACTTCGAGGACCATGTGGGCGGCTGTTTTGGCGGCGTTGTGAGTGCGACGTCGGCGGCATCCTCGCGACTGCAATTTTCTATGTGGGACGACACTGCACTCGGTTTGGCAAGGATCACTGGCAACTTGATGCTAGTGACGCGCGAACATTTCTCGGCGAAGGTCCGATGTGCGAAGGTCAGTACACGAGACCTCTCTTGACGAGGCGACGCAAGCGGACACGACCGGTCGACCGCTCGCGTCGCATTCTCAGGTTTAAACAAATCAAAAATGTTACTCTGGACCAAAAAACTTTTTTTTTTCTCAAATTACAGCATTTCGTATGTGAAATAAAAATTTCGATTTTATCTTGGTGGCGTCGCAAGTGCGAGATGCTTGGGGTTTTGCGTCGCGGTGGAGAAACGCTATTTTAAAACTCTCTCGTGAAGTGTGCGCTAACGCAAACCCTAAATTTAGAGCTAGCGTGCCCTAAACTTCCGTACGTTATTCTAATACTCCCTAGTACGCATCGATGACGCACGACGCTGGCTCTGCGAACTGGGCAGCACGTACGAGGAACCTTTCGTGACGTCATGTTTTCTCTTCTCCCTTTACTCCGCGTTCCCGCTGCCGCGGAGGGGCTTGATATCGACGCAACTTCAAATGTTTTCTTTATTTCTAGGCAACATGGCCGCAAAATAACCTACGTTTTGTGCTATTTGTGATGCTTGAAGTCGGATTAAAAAGAATCCAGGGTTTTAATAAAATTGAAATTCGCTTCAGCTTCCCTTTAACTGACTATATGGCATTCGCTTTCAGAGGTGGAAAGTGAACACCAATCTAAAACCACGTTGTCTTACCTGCACTCTGAGAAACCGGGAGTGTTTACCTTCCTGCGAAGTACTGGTAAAGAACCAATCTCTGCAATGTGTGGAAGGAGGTCGGCGAATGTCTAAGCTAAAATATTGTTTAGACGCTAAAACCAGCAGGTTGTGTTGTGGGATTGAGCGTGACGTTTTACCGAACTCAGTGAAACAAAGCAGGCAGTTTTTTTTTTTTTTGCTTTTTTTTTTGGTATAAACATATTTCTGGCCTGGATATGTTCGCCAAGCTGCCTCCTTATAGATTCCAGCCGTTGACTCTCACAAATGATTTTCGAGAATATAGACACTCCAGATCTATTCGGATGCAGGCACTTATAAAAATAGTATATAATTAACTGTGAGCGATTAAAGGTGACGTGGCCTAAAGATAAGATTGTTGTAATATGGTCAGTGGTCACGAATAACTTTTTTTGAAAGAAAGGTCCTGCTTGCTCGGAACAAATTAGGTGCAATCTTACATAAGGCGTTCTCGGTAAAAGCGTTGGACAAATTGCTAATAGGCACTTTCATTTGACTGTCCAAATTCTAATCACTATGTTCCATCTTCCGACTGTAGTGCAAAGCTGCCAATACTACGCACGCAATAAAATAGCACTTCAAGAAGATCTGTTTGCACGAGCACTGGCGCGATGAAGACCCTTATTCACGGTTTCACCCCAGAAACATGCATGCATATCAAAGACCCTTGAAATTTGATCTTTTTTTTTTTTTTTTGATGCCCAACAACGTTCCGGTTACTCTCCCAGGGTGTCGACGTAATGCTTGGACCCATGGCTCCGACGCTGGGTCGCGCCGAAGCCACCGACTTCAGCGCGCCGTACGATGTGAACTACGTGAGCCTCATGACATGGAAACCCGTCAAGTTTGTGGATCCATTCAACTTTATACTTTCCTTCAGCCTCGAGGTAACTATAGACCGATATGCTGTCTATACAAACAAGTCAGCGTTTTACCACAGCACGTGTGGGCTCTGAATCTCAGCTGGTAAAGAATATATTAATGCTTTGCTTGAGATATTGACGAGAACAAAGCAACATACTCGTAAACTTTGTAAGGGCCGAGACGGTCATTCATGAATGAGCATCTTTTTGTATTATTGAGCATATCAAACGGTGGAGCAAACAACAGGGGCGTAATTTCTTTCTCCTGCGTGATTTCTTTTACTTACATGCACAATTTTATTGCATAATAAACTAGTACATGAATTATCCAGGCCCAGAAAAGCACGTGTGTGCTTGTGGGCGGGACAGTGTTCCAATGGATAGGATGTTATTTCATTTCATTTCATTTTATTATACCTCAAAGGCACTTCTACCGAAGTGCATTACATGAGGGGGGATAAGAATACAAACTCACATAAAAACAAACAAAAGCAAAAGTAGATTCACAAACAAATACAACTAGTAATATTTGCCGAAAAATGGCTAGGGTTAAATCGCAACAGGATGCATATCATGGTAAAAAAAAAAAAAAAAACTAATGACTAGCTACCGACATAAACATTTAGACTAACGAAAAACACTTTTGAGGTGTGCCTTGCAAAGATCGCGGAATTTAGCTGGATTATTTTCGAGAGCAATAGCCTCAGGAAGAGAATTCCAGTTATTGATGGCTAGAGAGAGCGGGGAATTTTGAAATTTATTAGTTCTCGCAAATAGAGGGTTTATTTTCTGGCTGTGGTCACGACGTAAGGAGATGTGAGATGGAGGTTGGCAGTAATGGTTTCGGAATGATGTTATTACTCTAACAGAAAGCAAAACAACGTGCTTTCGGCCTAAAAAAAACAAATATTTGTTACATGTTACAAAACCCAACAACCTACAAACTCTCTCAATTTTATACTTTGAAAATCACAAGATGCAAACACCCACAAAACAACGCACCAACATAAAAAAAACAACGACTAGAGGTTGCAAAATTTATAAACCCGCAAAGTTATTGCACTACTCTCCTCGTTCTCTCTTAACACTCCTAAGGGACTGCAAATCCAAAACTCGATATGGCAGCGTGTTATAATAATGTGAAACTTAAAAAAAAGCCGTACTCTTTTACCGTTGTTTGTGAAAACCTTTGGCAGAACGAAACGTTTTTTGTCTTTTTTTTTTCCTCTGAACCCTTTTGCTTTTTTAATGACTGCTTAAACGTGTATTTGTAGTAATTGCGTACGTGCATTAGGTGCTTGTCGAACCTAATGCGGCGCCCACACTAGGTATAGGCACTGCGCCTGCGCGGAAACCAGATTCGCTTCAAACGCTGCTTTTGCGCATGCGCCGTGCCTACAGCAGCGCCACCGCAACAGCTTGACGTCAGCGCCGCATGCTGGCGTCTGGAACCTTTTTTAATTTTTTTGTTAACTCAGCAACTATAATTCGGAATTTTATTTTATTAGTTCTCGTGGGAATTTACCGAAGAGAGATTGTTTGATTTAACAACTGCATAGAGGGACAAAGCGGAGCGCAAGTTTGTCTGCTTCATGCGGTAACGTCACAACGCCGAGTTCTAATTGGCTCGGATTGGAAGGATAGCGGGTAGACTTCAATGCTAGCTGATTTGAGGTCCACCCGCTATCCTTCCAATCCAAACCAATCAGAGCTTGACGTTTTTCTGACGTTACCGCCACCCCTGCGCAAGACGCAGACGAATTTGCGGTCCGCATAGTTTCTTGCTCCGCGATTCGTTCTTTTGCGTTTTTACATACCGAGTGATGCAGTCTTGTACACGTTACTAAAAAAAAGTAATCGATTACAATTACTATTACTTTTGGCTAAAAAGTATTCGATTAGATTACTTGATTACTCGATGGCAAAAGTAATTGGACATTACTTAGAGAAGTAATCGTTACTTTTCCGATTACTTTATTGTGTGAAGACACATCTTTAGCGCTCATAACAATGAACTACTTCCAACCTATATTTCACATTTGCGCAAGTATTGAAGAAGAAAAACTGGCTCCCTCTTCGTGGTCGTTGCACCTTCACAATGCGGACACAAGCATAGAATTCGTTTGAAGACGTTTAATGATTTGGGCGTTCGCCAGTGTGTGTGTGTGTGTGGGGGGGGGGGGGGGGGGGAGGGGAGGGGGGGAGGGGGGAGCGGAGGGGGTTCTAGATCTTGTTTAGCTTGAGCAAAGGTCGTCGCTCAAAGTTTGTGTCGCTCATTTTATTATTCACACGTGGATGAGCTCGCATGTTATACAAAAAAGCAGCAGCTCCAGGATTTGAAACGGATCATGTGTAGTATCCATTAGCGCAAGAGATCGCCCCGACCACTTCTCAACTCGAAACATTGCTTGTCACAAAGACCGCGTAGGGGAAATGTGGAAATATTTCAACTGCCTTTGTTATATTTTTCATCCGCTTTAGGCATTCTTCGGTTCTGGTTCTCCTACGGGCTGCGAGTAGGTACCCTAAGCAGGATTTTTTTTTATTTATATGTGTGTGTGCGTGAGGGGGCTAGTTTGAACGAAGGACTCACAAAGCTACTTTCTGTTTCCTCAAACTTCGCCCTGAATGGCCATTGTCACGCACTGTGGCTTCCCTGGGGCATCCCACTCCCAGTCCCAGCTCGAAAAAAAGAAAAAAAAAAAAAAAAGAACGGACATTCCACAGAAACTGTACATAGAAAGAGATTGACCTCGTTTCCTACAGCTCCGCAAAAATCTTTCTTTTTTCCGTTCAAAAAAAAAAAAAAAAAACTTAAAAAGCGAATTTTATTTTTGTCATTTCATAAAAAAAACGGCGTGTGCCGGCGGGCCGGGGGGAGGGGGGGGGGGGGTTTCATGGACAAATTGTAACGGTTACAACTAATTTTATTACTTCAAAAAGTAATCAGATTACTCTTGTGATTACTGCCTAATAAAAGTAATCAACTGATTACAAAATTACTCCACAAAGTAATCGATTACAAGTAATTTGATTACTTGTAATGCGTACGGTACAAGTCTGGAGTGATGTCGCAATTTTTTTGGTTCCGAAATCATAATTAGATGCTGGAGACACGTCACGCTCTGTGTTTCTTAATCTCTCGGTGACGATGACCGTTTCCAGGTTTGGCTCGGCGTATTTTTCTCCTGGACATTGCTCGCCTTCGCGACGGCCCGATTGGACGCTCTTGTCAACCGAATGTCTGGAAGGCCAGACGAGGGCTCTTTCGCCGGATTTTTCTGGGTTTACTTTAAGCTCATGTTTCCCAACAGTAAGTACGATATTACGCGATTCTGTATTGAAAAGTGACAAGCCCATTTCGTGTTTTAAGAGATGGTGACCATGGGTGTCCCAATGTTCTTTTTTGGGGTATATCGCCACTTTTCGTGGAACCCGATGCCGGATTCCGGCCATCGCGGGAGAAAAACAAGAAAATTGCGTGGGCCAAAATAGCGTACGACTAACTTTTAGACAAAATTCCATATTCGTTCTTTTTTTTTTCGAAAAACAATAAATGTGTAAATTTAGCCCCCAAGCCAAATTTATCAGAATCGAGATTTAAAAGAAAAATCGAAGTTCTCTTTTATTACAAAAAGAAACTTTTGACTTCTCCACTCTGGACAAGAAGTAAGAGCAGCGGTGCTGCAGTTTTTGTTCTCGGCGGTGGCTTTCCAGGCGAGCGGTCTGCTTTTATTTCGCAGAGAAATCTGAAGCGCTCGACGCAGTGGAATTTTAGGCGATAGCGGCTTCGCGGCGGCTGCGGAACCATTTGTGCTGCTGCGCACATCGCGCCGCTCGTTCCATTCCCGCTTTTCTTGCTGCAAAGAATGATTGCCGCCATCTATGAACGACGACGGCAACCAGTTGTCTGGTTGCCGCCGTCGCTCATAGATGGCGGTAGCTGTCCAGAGTTCGGTGACATCATTTCTAATCCGGCGGACGCAACGCTGGGGAAACTAGCCCTTGACAGCTCCGCTGTAAAATGGCCCATGGTTTAGCGTGACGAAAACTTTTAACTACAGTGTAATTGTGTGTTGACCCGGGCACAGCTCACTGAATTGTCCGCTAGGCTGCTAGTTCCCTCGGAACCAGGCAATCTCTTGTTTCAATCTCCGATCGGTGCCGGGACGTTTTTAAATTATTCGGGCACCGAGCTTAGGTTCCTTGGAGGTGCGGGGATCCCATGGCCGTATCCTATTTTTTTTTTCAGCATAAACCCCGGTAAACTCCGACTTTTTTTTTTTTTTTCTTGCCTACACTCAAAATTGATAACGAAAAACACTGAATGTGTGGGAACCCTGAAAAAACATTCCCGATGGCGAAGATGATAAACCCCGAAAGCACGAAACTCTAAATATTCTGCCCCAATTAGATTTTGCATCAGTTGCTTGGAACAACCTTAGTGCCACTGCTTATAACCCTTATAAGTGAAAAGAAAAACAAATTCGCAAGAACGCTTTACGCAAGACAATACTTGTTCGATATCAGCATGTGATCTTTTATTTGGGTTTGGTACATTTACAGAATAAAGACGAGGTAGAAATGACCTCGTATTTTTGTTTAAATGTTTGCATGGATACTATGACAGTGAAGGTATCAGATCACGCATCAATATGAACTTTCCAGTTCGGAGTTTCAGCCATAATCGCACATTCGCCATAAATCCTGTACATCTTTTTTGTCCGCTACATGGTATTCGGAATTTCTTAAATCACCTCCACTACGACTCATCACCTGTTGTCATTTTTAATGCTGACCTGATGTCTTTCAAAAGTAGCACATTCTTTTTTTTTACATTAGATTGTTGGGTTCTGACGTTCGGTTTGTCAACAAATTTTGTGCACCACCCTTAAAGCCATCTGGCTCTTCGTGGGCACTGTAACTGAATAAGTAAATATAAAAATAAATAGTTCATTCTACTATAGCTCGTCCCTGGTGCCAAGTTCCTACATCTTCAAGGCCCCTTGGAAATGTTCTGATATGCCATCATGCAAAGTAAAACTTCCAAATTGAAAGTTATCTAACACCTTTACCGCGTTTTGTTTTACGATGATGATCCTGAACCTATATATTTTTAGACGTGCTTAAGTTAGACTCACTTCTTGAAAGTGGCTAAAACGCGAAAGGAAAATTAACACCAGCTTCCCTCGAACATGATATATCACCTAAACTTCTTGGAAATTCCGAAGTTTTCTCGCTGCTGGAACAGTCGATTTTTTCCCACGTTCCTTTAACTAATTAAGGCCGACAAAAACTAAATACTTTCATCACAAAATAGAAGAAAAAATCCAATTTATTTCCTCGTTTTCTTTTCACGAAATTGAACGCCAAGTTTGCTATACAACAATATTTGCTTTAGGAGAAGGAGAAGACAAGGGTGCACAGAGATGTCAGAGCGCCGAACTCTGATGGGTAGGGTAGTGGAAAGACAAAGAGGCAAGTTATAGCCTTTGCGCTTACCCACTACTATCATTCCAATCAGAGCTCAGCGATCTAAGTCCCTGCGCGCTTTCCTTTTCTCCTCTCCCTCCGTTTTTCTCCTTACGGAGTTTTGCCTGACAGCTACACGCTATAGTGGGTAGAAAATAAAGAATCCCCGTAGACAATTCATCGTGTTCCCTTGCAACAGGTTATCCCAGCAACAGAGCCACGTGGTTTCGGCTGCTGATGGGCGTCTGGCTTCTGGCCCTGGTGGTGCTGATGGGTCTTCTCAACTGCACGCTCACGTCTACCATGCTCGTGAGAAAGACCACCGACTACGTGGACAACTTCGAAGACCTCGTGAGGTTCCCCAAGACCCTGATAGCCACCGAGAAGCTGACCTACTTCGAAGCCATCCTCAAGGCGAGTTCGGACTCACGTGACCTAGCCTAAATAATGTATTTGTTAATTAACACTTTAATGTATTGACGACGATTGAATCAGGCTTATAAATTAGATATCAGGGAGTGATCCCATATTAAACAGATTCGGCGGTTCGAGATGTATTCTGAAGAAGGTTCGCGCTCAGCAGCAAGGCGACCACAATGGCACTTGGTCCGACGCCTGTGCAAGCAACGTATGGTCGAGCGAGACGGTGGACAATCCGACATCTTGACCGCCGTGCTGTTTCACGTACAGGGGGAAAGCGAGATATTCTTGACTGTTTTATATGTCCCCAGTTTTTGCCACCTTGATCTCAAGATGCTGGACCAGAACTTACGGAGAGCGAGTGCTCCAGCTAAATGTTACTACGACAATTGCGCAGAATCCAGTCGGAGAAACGTTCAAAAAGCTGAGCAGTCGCCACGAGCAAGTGATTGGCATCTACCAGGCTGGCCCTGTCCTGGACTTCGTGATGCAGCAGGTGCTCAAGAAGGAGCGCGTCATGATCGGCACTGACGTCATGCTCAAGTCCCACATCGCCGACAACTTTGTAAGGACGGGGGAGTGCAAGCACCACGTGACCAGAGGCACCGCAGGCATCATGCAGATTGTCATGCTGGTCCGGAAGAGCCTGCCCAGAGAGTTCAAGCGGAAGCTGGACAGATAGTAAGAATAAGAATTTGTGTCGTATCTCACGTTCAGGAGGTGCCACTTGACCGTAGTCCTCTTTGGCCCTGGTGCGAGCTCCCTGTTATGGGCTCACACCGTTTATCATTCACAGTTTTAGAAAGAACAATGAAAACGACTGAAACATAACTACTCACACTTGCAACGAACATTTAGATGTTCGTTGCCAGTTTATATGTAGATTCCCGGCATTGGTGCCGACGCCGGGGACTGAAAACTATTAAAACAAAAACTCGCATGCGTACAGTAGCTCAAAGGAAATAATCGAAGATGAGATTATAACTTTGACAGTAAAACACAGAGCGTGAAGAGTCCTGACGACCTTATTTCTTATTTTATACTTTAATAAAGCGTCAGCGAGTTCACTTTCCCGCAGAACACGGACACAGCCAATCGCGTCGAACGATAGACTGGTTCCAGAAAATGGCAAAGCCCTGAGTCCGCTAAGACCAAGAAGCATGACGTCTCATTTGCTCATTGTCCCGGACATCATCGCATTCTACAGGCCGTCTAATTGATTTTTCAGCACCGTCATTTGCTGGGAACCGATCTCACCAGCCATCTTGAGTATGCCACCACTGCCGCAATGCATCGAGGGAAGTTTAGTATTTCTGCACGTGCGACGACCTCGCTGGAGCTCCGCGCGTGTAGAGCACGAGACGGCAAGAGCACTATCGTTCACTGCCGTTAGCCTCCTGTGAACTAATAGAGAGTTTTAGTAGATCGTGTTTTGAGGCCACGCTAATCGTAGCGGGAGCTCGCGCTGCCACTTCGATACTTGCTCTGAAGCGCGCGCTCGTAGCGGTATATGGCGGGGTATATAGCGGGCCTTTGAAAACGATCTACTAAAACTCGCTAATGTTATGTGGCATCACACATGCGTCAAACGTTTGGTGAGATTGGTCTATTTCCCAGATTGGAAACAAAAACGCCCCTAAAGTCTGATTCACACATTCGTGTCGGTCGCTTTCGCAGCAAGCGAAACGACGGCATCGGCAAAGACACCGAGACAAGTGTTTGCCGTGCAAAACGTAGCAAGTGATTCAAGAAGAAGCTTTTAGAAGAAATCATGAATCACGGTTGTTCCGGTGTTATGGCCGGTATACAGTCGTGAACGCTTGTTTCCGAGGTCGCCATCTTGCTGGATGGTGGTTGAAGGGTGGACAGACACCGAATTTGATGGTACCCAGAATCTGTATGTTTACTACTGTAGTCCACTCAGGTTGTGAATTCCTGCCTTTTTTTACACATTTTTCTTCAGTATGAAAGTTCCTCTTTCTCTCTCGCTTTCTCAGTCTATCTCTTTCTGTCTCATGAAACAATGCTGGGGATAGTCGTTTTACATTAAGTCCGACCGCAGGCAACGCTACTGTCCGACGGAGCCAATGAAGCCGCGCAAAAAAGTGCACCGTCATGGCGCGCGTCGTCTTTGTGCGTTTGGTATCGCCGACGAAAACAATCACGCATAGCGAATCTGGCGCGATCCTGAGATTTTTTTTTATGCGTGATTGGCGCCGCGCCTGCGCAGAAATCAGATCCGGGAGAAGTGAAGCTTCCGCGCATGCGCAGCGCCGACACTAGCGCAGCGCCGACACTAGCGCCACCGCAGCGACGTGACGTCAGAGAGCTTAGTCGGTCTATACGTAGTTGCGGCTTATCGTATGGTTTCGCTCGTGTATTCTCAGCGTGACGTCCATCAACCAGTGCGACATCTACCACAAGGAGATGGAGTGGAGGCTGAGGAACTACACGCGGTGCCAGAACGAGATGGACGACGCCATCAAGCCCCTGGGCATGAACGACCTTCAGGGAGGGTTCCTGCTTCTCGTCGTCGGTCTCGGCTCGGGAGCCGTGGCCTTTGTTGGCGAACACCTGGCGAGGAACTCTCCTCCGCCTCGCCGAGCAGGAAACGCTGGACGAAGGCGCAGGTGTGGCTTGGTTCTGCTGCAGAAAAAGCAGACTGAAGGATACAAATAAAAAGTGATTGAATACAACGTAGTGTTCTTATGACAGATCGTGCAATGATGGTGTGGATCGGATTTTTTTATGTAAATGATATATGTTAAAGCCACGTTCTTGGGAATAGCATTCAGCAATATGCGAACGCCGTAGCTAATTGTGTCTTCCAAATATATAAAATTTCCAAGCTCGAGGCGTTGAGATCACCAAGGTTTCGAGTGGAGATTGCCAAGGCCCAGGTCGTCAATTTCACACCGGAGCCTGCAAGTAGTGATAATATTTTTTCTAATTATGTTGTGAACATTTTACGACATGTCTTGGGCCGAGTTCCATTCTATGCACCAACTCAGCGGTCTGCCGTCACGGCACTGCGGTGTCGCTGCTGTCGGCACTCCGCATGTGCTGACGCCTTGCTTCGTGGGAATCTGGTTTCTACGCACGTACAATGCCCAGTGTGCAAAAAAAAAAAAAAGAAGTTTTGAAGGGTTAAACAGAGGTTCACAGGCCAAATCCCTGTCGAACCTTTGATCCGCACTGTAGAGGTTTTCTCGTTAACCTAATGACATATAAACTTTGTTTACCACTTATTGTTATCTCATCGTAAACAACAGTTTTCGTACGGTTACGAAGGTACTTTTCGTCAAAACGTGGCATTCACTCTTCTAGGACTTTAGGGGCATCAACGCAGAGCCTATACAAAAATTACGCCGATGTCCCGATGTCTGAATTGCACTTTTATCTACATCAGCTGAAGCCAAACAGCGACTAACGAGGATTCAACTTCGTTCTAGGAGGGATGTTTAAAAAGAACACCTTTTAAAATGTGCTCTCCATCCTGAAGCGAAGCGAAGTAAGGATTTACTGCAGACTGAAAACAGTCACACAAACGAGCGGGACGCCACGATATCTTGATTTACCCAGTTCGTGCCGATAAAGTTCCGCTCTTTAGAAGAATATAATCACTATTTATACGTATAAGCTTCTATTGGGATTTCTGAATAGCCGCATGTCCGCCTGGAAGGACATGTATCGTGGTGATTCGCAACGCAATCCTTCAGCGCGAGTCGTAATCCAGCGATCGAAGAAGCCCACTGGACACCGTATTGTCAAGATTCGAAGTCTCGTATCTGGATTAACATCCACCCGGGACATCGACGAACGAAATACGTCCGTCATTATTGTGAAGGTACACATCCGACAATTTCGTCGATTTGTCATGCCTCAACGGAGGCTGGAAAGTTGGTGTGTGTGCCTCATGTGAACGAACTATGGTGCTGGTGCGCAGTATATAAACGAGCATTGTGCACTCGTTGCGTATTTCCAGATTGGGGCAACCCAGCAATGTTCGTCCCCAACGATTCCCGTCCTTGTAACTTGGAAAATGGTTGCTTTCGGTTCAATGTGGGAAAGGTAAGGTTGTCTTTTTTTAACACAAACTTGGCCTGCGTCTTAGACTCCAAAGCGATCCCGTTATACGTTACCGTGGCTTCTGAACACTCGCCTGCTTAATGCAGCAGGGGTCTGTAGGAAAAAGACTTGGTATGACGCACTTCTCGTGATCATTTGATACGCACAGAACTTAATTCGTTTCGTCCAAGCATCGTTATTGATTTTGAAGTAAATTAAAATTATATCTGCACAAAAAACAGCGCTATCATAGGGAACATAAAGAGTCGGGACTACCTGTTTTTATGGCAAGTTTTCCTTTGTCCGCGCCACGGTGAAGAAGCAGTCCGAGCGTGAAAAGTCTCTTTATTCTGGGTTTGTTGAACGCAGATGAAAAAGTGAACCAAAAGCATTTTTTGCTGCTAGAGTTACAGCATGCATGCAAGAGAAATAAACAGGGAAATCGCCTTATATCATAATTTGGTATATCATTCTTTAATTAATCAGGTTCAAAATATTTTGCCAGTCACTTTAGCTCCTGTTTTTGTTTGGATTTACAACGGATAATAATTAATATTCAACGGTTAACAATCACGATTTTCTTTCCTTTTGTGATATCCGTGATGATGTAGTTTCGATAGAGATTGGAGGTCTCAAGCCTCAGCCGTCTACCAGTTGTGAATTAGAGTTGGACACTTTCCGAAATTCAGTCTGGCCACTTTGATCACTGTTATCATCATCTGAAAAATGGTATATGTGCCGTACTAATGGCGGCCTTCTGTTTACTGATGAAGGAACAAGTTGAAGATACTCCTAAGCTGAGGATTCGAGGACTAAACATTCAAGACGTTAGCACTTTGCAAAGCAGGAAGTGGAACAGCCGACAAATCCAGTCCAAGCCTTGTGTTGTTTTGGACGGAGGGCGCGACACTAGGCTAGATCCAGTCAGAGCTCCTAGATTTAGTAACAAGTCGAAAAGCCGCAGACCCCAATCCAATCCAAGCCTTAAGCCGAAAGTATCCGAAAGTGCGCATCTGGCGGCCATGCTGATATTTATTTGTTGACATGTGTGGTTGAGCGTCGTGTTTTCATCGTGTTTCTGGAAGTGACCTTTTCACTGACGATGTCGGCGGGGAAAAAGTGCTCGTTTAATCCGGACTGGACGAACCCGAGTAATTCGGAATATGCAAGTTGGATTAAGCCCTTCCAAAAAGACCCTCACAGTGCTCAATGCTTTTTGTTGTAATGGTCTTATATATTTATCCTCCTATACAATGGTCAGAGAATTTCACAAAAAATTGTCAAGGAAATCCTGGAAAAGTCAGGGAATTTCAAAATGATAATTTGCTAGAACCCCTGCCAGAGTTCCCGTACAGTCTCCCTACGGGAGCCAGAATCGCGCGTTCATCCTCAGAAGGTGGCCGTAGCGCTGGCTTTCCTACACGGTCCTGGGACGGCTTGCTAGAACAGGGTATCAGCCGAGACTGGGTAAAAGAAAGCACTGCAAATGCTGGGGCGCGCGTAATACACACTGCAGCGTAAAGGACAAGGATAAGTGAAAGACGTAGACAGGACAAGCGCTACGTCTTTCACTTGTCCTTGTCCTTTGCGCCGCAGTGTGTATTATCATAAGGTTTGCGCCGGCCTCCGAATCCCCATGTGGCGGGTTCGAATCCCGGCCGAGGTGCCCGCAATCTGGCGGAGGCTTATTGCGGAGAAGGCGCCGTGTAATCGAGCTTTCGGTTGCACGTCAAAAGATCCCCAGGTGGTCTAAATTAATCCTCAGTCCTCCACTGGGGCGTGCCAGATGCCCGTCGTTGGTTGGGCACGTAAAACCCCCAAATTTGATGTGACTTGTATTATCATAGCCTCCTATATACTGACAAAGCCTGGCAGATCGCCACGAGAATCAGCCGCCGAAATGGAAAAGGTGGAGCGGCAGGCAACGGATGAGAGGAGAGCCACGTGACTGGCGCCCCGCTGCGGCCGAAACACACTTCTCCCGAGCGAACAACTGTGTTTCGGGTCCTCACCGCTGCAAAAGCTGTGCGCTGACGTCCAGGTTCCCCGAGAAATGGCCTTTTCATGCTCTGTGCTACCAGATCCTCGCGTTTCAAATCTGCGAGCGGGCACTCTTTGGCTCCGTCGTCGAGCTGCCAGGCTTTGTGAGTATAAAGGTGGCTATGATAATATGTAGTAATATGTATACCCGACTCTCTCGTCTGATCATTTTAGCGCGCGAGCGTCTTGAGACGCGCTTTGAGTCACGCTCAGCTTGTGCTTGACCTTGGCAGTGCTTTCTTTCACCCAGTCTCAACTGAGACGCTGCTTCTAGCAAACCGGCTCAGGATTCTTCGTTCCTCGCGTGATCCACTTCACCGCATATATAGCGGCGCCGCGCGCGGCGCCGCGCAAGGAGAAGGAGGCAAATCTAGGGGAACATACGCCGGGACGCGTGCAACGTCGGCGAAGCGGCCGTATCGGTGGTTTTCCTGCACGGCGCTGGATTCTTTGCTCCTCACGTGATCGATCTCGGCGCTGCGGCAAGTGGTAAACAGACGCGCCACTCGGGCTCTAGTAAGGAGCCTATACAAAACCTCTATCTCCACCAAAAGCCCATGCGCGACTCGATTGGACCGATATGTGCATGCAGCATGCAGCTCCGTGCAGTAGCCGCTCCGGGAGAAATGGCGGCGTTGCGAACTCATCACGTTCGGTTCTTGAATACGGATCGGAGCCACTTTTTCGAAGCAGGCACCTATGGCAGTGTCCCAACTGAGTTGGTTCTTATAACGTTGGCTTTGTGTTACATTCCGCGTAAGCATAGCGTTATCGTTGTCTGTTACTGAAGCGATTGAATCGAAAGGTACGTTTGACTCGCACGGTTGCACTGGTAGCAGCAGTATCCAAAAGAGTCACAATTCCTCTTCTCACAGCCTGCCTCAGCAATACATCCTTTCATAAACAAAGTGTTAATTTACAAAAAAACACTCAGAATGTCCGCCTTTGCTCATGGCGTCGTAAAATCAATGCTCCACCACGTGCTCTGTGTTCGCTCCAGCTTCGTCGTTCTCGATAGAAGCTAGCGATACATATCAGGCAGTAGCCGAATTGAGCAGTTTGTACATTTATTATTACTTATAAAATGGCATTTTCATTTTTCTTGGCAATCATTTGTATAATATAAAAAGTAAACTTTGTTCGGGTGAAAACCACGTGATTTTCTTCAATGTGCGAACGGAGAACAACCCGTTTGAGTGTAACAGCGGCAAAATTTCAGAAAACAATAAAATTATATTGCCATTGCTTTGAGGAACATCATCCGTGAAATATCCGAATGTTTAATCCTCCGCCGCACAAGTTATTCAATTTTAAACAGAACCCACCTGCTCACATTGCACCCGTAAAGCACATGGCGTTTTCGTCGGCAACACCCGAAGCTCTGACGTAACATCATGCAAAAAAAGAAAAACCACGACAGCTCTTTACTGCTGAAGAAAGACAAGGCTTATGGAAATGGAGGAAGCTCACTTGTTTGACGGCAATCTGCACGCACCATCGACAACTTTGATCAAATCCGGGAACAATAAGTCAACGTCCGCGACTTTGACGCTTTTTGATGTCTTTCGATG